GACAGAGATCCCTTTTATTCCTTTGAATTTTTTTTTTTTCCTGGCTGTTCTCATTGTTTACTTTTCATTGAACTTTAGAATTAACCTTCCTAATTTAATTTAAAATCCTGTTTGTATTTTTATTGGGATTGCATTAACACTTTATTCTAACTTAGCCATCTTTAAGGGGAAGGTGGAGAGATTTGGAACAGCTAAGGGAGAGGAACTTGTCTGTCAGTTTGTTGTACTGTGGTGGCTTGCATGTTGCTATGAGGCTGGAGGCTGTGCCACCTGTGTTTCAAATACCAGCAGGGTTGCACATGGTAGACAGGTTTCCATGGAGTTTCCAGACTGAGATAGACTTGGAAGAAGGAAGAGGCCATCCACATCTCAAAGTATTGGCCAGGGAAAACCTTATGAATAGCAGAGAAGCACTGTGATACATTACTGGGCAACTTTATGAATAGTCCTGAAACATTGTCTGATACAGTACCGGAAGATGAGCCCTTTGGGTCAAAAGGCACTCAGAATATGACTGGGAAAGAACTGCCTCATTAGTAGAACCAACCTTAATGATATGGATAAAGTAAAGCTTTCAAGACCTCCATTGGCTGATGTGGCATGACTCAAACTGAGGAGAAACAGCTGCAAACATCCATTAATAATCTGAATATGGAATGTATGAAGTATGAATCTAGGAAAATTGGAAGTTGTTGGAAATGAAATGGAATGCTTAAAGATTGATATCCTAGGCATTAGTGAGCTTAAATAGACTGGTTTTGGCCATTTTGAATCAAACAACCATATGATCTACTATTCCGGGAATGACAAATTGAAGAGGAATGGTGTGGCATTCATCATCACAAAGACTGTTTCAAGATCTATCCTGAAGTACAGTGCTGTCAGTGATAGGATAATATCCATATGCCTACGAGGAAAGCCAGTTAATACTACTATTATTGAAATTTATACAACCACCAAAGCCAAAGATGAGGAAATTGAAGATTTTTACCAACTTCTGCAGTCTGAAAGTGACCAAACATGCAATCAAGATGTCTTGATTATCACTGGTGATTGGAATACAAAAGTTGGAAACAAAGAAGAATTACTGGTAGTTGGAAAATTTGGCCTTGGTGATAGAAATGACACTGGAGATTGCATGATAGAATTTTGCAAGACCAATGACTTGTTAATTGCAAATACCTTTTTCAGTGACACAAATGGCCACTATACATATGGACTTCCCCAGATGGAGTGCACAGGAATCAGATTGACTACATCTGTGGCAAGAGGTGATGGAAAAGCTCAGTATCTTCAGCCAAAACAAGGCTAGGAGCTGATTGTGGAACAGACCATCAATTGCTCATATGCAAGTTCAAGTTGAAGTAGAAGACAATTAAAACAAGTCCATGAGAGCCAAAATAAGACCTTGATTATATTCCTCCTGAATTTAGAGACCATCTAAAAAATAGATTTGATGCATTGCACACCAGTGACTGAAAACCAGAGGAATTGTGGGATGGCATCAAGAACATCATCCATGAAGAAAGCAAATGGTCATTAAAAAGACAGGAAAGGAAGAAAAGACCAAAATGGATGTCAGCAGAGCCTCTGTAACTTGTCTTTGAATGGAGAGTATTTAAAGCAAATGTAAGAAAAGACAACATAAAAGAAAGGGCTGAACAGAAGATTTCAAAGAGCAGCTCAAAAAGACAAAGTCAATTATTATAATGAAATATGCAAAGACCTGGAGTTAGAAAACCAAAGGGGAAGAACATGCTTGGCATTTCTCAAGCTGAAAGAACTAAGGAAAAATTAAAGCCTCAAGTTGCAATATTGAAAGATTCTATGGGCAAAATATTGAATGATGCAGGAAACATCAAAATAAGATGGAAGGAATACACCGTCACTGTAGCAAAAAGAATTGTTTGATGTTCATCCATTTTAGGAGGTGTCATATGATCAAGAACTAATGGTATTGAAGGAAGAAGTTGAAGCTGCACTGAAGGAATTGAAAAACCAGGCTCCAGGAATCAATGGAGTACCCACTGAGATGTTTCAACAAACGGATACTGTGCTGGAGGCACTCACTTGGTATGCCCAAAGACTTAGAAGACAGCTATTTGGCCAGCTTATTGGGAGAGATTCATATTTGTACCCATTCCAAAGAAAGGTGATCCCACACAATGTGAAAATTATTGAACAATATCATTAATATCGCATGCAAGTAAGATCTTAGTGGGAGATAATTCAAAAATGGTTGCAGCAGTATATTGACAGAGAACTTCCAGAAATGCGTTTGATTGTGTGGATCATACCAAATTATGGATAACATTGAGAAGAATGGGAATTCCATAACACTTGATTGTACTCACGAGGAACCTGTACATTCAAACAGAACAAGGGAACACTGCTTGGTTTAAAATCAAGAAGGATACAGGGTTGTATCCTTTCATCATATTTATTCAGTATGTATGCTGAGCCAATAATTTGAGAACCTGGATTATATAAAGAAGAATGTGGCATCAGGATTTGAGGAAGAATCATTAACAACCTGAGATATGCAGACGATACAACTTTGCTTGCTGAAAGTGAGGATGATTTGAAGTACTTACTGATGAAGATTGAAGAATACAGTCTGCAGTATGGATTACACCTCAACATAAAGAAAACAAAAGTTCCCACAACTGGACCAATGGGCAGCATCACAATAAATGGAGAAAAGATTGAAGTTGTCAATGACTTCCCATTGCTTGGTTCTACAGTCAACACCAATGGAAATAGCAGTCAAGATATCAAATGACTTGTAGCACTGGGCAAATCTGCTGTAAAAGACCTCTTTCAAGTGCTGAAGAGCAGAGATGTCTCTTTGAGGGCTAAGGTGCACCTGACACAAGCCATGGTATTTTCAGTCACCTCATATGCATGTGAGAGCTAGACAATGAATAAGGAAGACTGAAGAAGAGTTGATGCTTTTGAGTTGTGGTGCTGGCAAAGAATGCTGAAAGTACCATGGACTGCTAAAAGACCTAACAATTCTTTCCTGGAAGAAGTGCAGCTGGAATGCTCCTTGGAAGCAAGAATGGCCAGACTTCATCTCCCTTTGTTTTGTCATGTTATCAGAAGGAACCATTCCCTGGAGAAAGATATCATGCTTGGTAAAGTGGGGGGTCAACAAAAGAGGAGAAGACCCTCAACAAGATGGATTGACATGGTGGCTGCAATGATGGCTCAGGTATAACAAGGACTGTGGAGCTGGCAGCTGGCGCAGGACCTGGCATTGTTTCGTTGTGCTGTGCATGGGGTCACTGTGAGTCAGAGGTGACTCGATGGCACCTAACAACAACAACAAAAAGATGTTTATCCTGTCTATCCATTTACTTAAGTTTATTTTTGGATTCCTCAGCAACATGCAAAAGACTTTTTATCTTTCTTCTGTTCTTGAATTATTCTTGTCAAAATTGTTTCCTGCTACTGTATATTTTATTTGCTATTTGAAATGGTCTTGTTTCTTCTATTTTATTCTTAATTTTGAAAAAGAGCTCTGGAGTTACAGTGGTTAAGCATTCAGCTGCTAATCTAAAGGTTGATGGTTTTAACCCATCCAGTGGTTCCATGGGAAAGAAACCTGGCAGTTTGCTTCCATAAAGAATACAGCTTAGAAAGCTCAATGGGGACAATTCTACTCTGTCACATGCGGTTGCTATGACTCACAGTCAACTTGATGGCACCCAACAACAATGACATTGTAGTCTTGTCCTAATTATTCAGGGTATTGTTTCACCCAGTCACATTCTCCCTAAATGTTTTCATCAGGTTGTATAAGTTTCTTTTTTTATACTGATGTTTTTTGGGAAGATAACTGGGTTTTTGCACTTTCTTCCCACTCAAGAGGTAGTTATTTGGTGGCATCTCTTGTACCTTCTTCTGAGGAGATGATGGATCAGAATATTTCCTTCATCAGTAGGAATACACAGTAATAAGTGGAGCTTTCTGTGAACTCACTGTGAGTTGGAATCGACGTGGTGGCAATGGGTTTGTTTTTTATTTTATTTTTTCTTTTAAGCAGCTAGATAGAGTGCTGGACCTCCAAATGGGAAAGTGTGCCATGGTATTAGTATGATTTGAGCTGTCTCGCTTCTTACCCATCCTGGAGTGAGGCTATAGGGGTTTCTGTGGTTGCTCTTCAGTGGTCAGCAGAGAAATCCTGATGGCAGTGGGTGGTGACGACATTCCCTTATATACCACGTGGATGACCAGAATTTAGTATGTTGTCGTTACATCTATCAGGTAGGTTTTCCACCCATAGCGATCCAATGTGACACAGTAGAATGGCCCCTGGGGTTTTCTAGGTTGTAATCTTTACAGGAAGAGATTGCTAGATCTTTCTCCCATGGAGCTTCTAGGTGGGTTTGAAACACCAACCTTTTGGTTAGCAACTAAGCATTTAGCCATTACACCATCATGACTCTGTGAATTTAGTATGTGTGGTATCAAATCATAAAGCTGCAAGGGCTGAGGTTCAAGATAAGGGAAATGAAGACTAGTGAGCTAAGGAACAATAGCATAAAAAGCTGCTTTTAAGCAGCAGAGCAATCTAAGCCCTGACTCTAAGCCCACTGTTCTTGCTGCCATAATGCTCTGTCATGATTGGTTTCTCCAGAAAAGAAGAAGTTTTATAGGACTGACAGGGATGATAGTTAAAAATCTAGGGCAGGAAGAGTTTTCAGAAACCATCTGTTTCACTCATGCCAGTATTGTACCCCTCTGTTTTATTCTTAAATATCTCCAGAAGTGTCTTACTATTCTCTCTGCCCTCTAGTTACTACCATCTCTTTCTTTTTGTACAGTAGGGTATGTATTTAACTTCAGCCTTTTCTGCAGTTTGAGCATTGCCTTGTGTTTTGACAAATTATGGAGATTCATGTTTTATTAATTTGATTTAATCTCTCTTGAGGATGCTTAATTTTTTCTGCCTGTAGGGCTGTGGATCCCATTTGAAAATGTTGTTTTTGTTACAGGAGGTCTCTGGGCCACCATTCATGGTTCTGGTTTGGAAGGTGTTAGCCTGGTGTTATTTGGATCTCAGTCTTGTGCCATTAATGTCAACACAAGCAATTCGCAAAGAATTCAATGTCAGGTTCCACCCAAGGTAAGTGGAATTCTCTGGTGTCTCCTTTTCTCTGGATGGATTACCATTATTAACACATAGCATAAAGTTTTGAGCAAATCACTTCTTGGAACGAAATTAACTGACATAACCTCTCATCTTGAAAGTATGTTTATATTGCCTGTCATGCTATGAAGTGGGAAATAGACCCTGCCAATGGGAATTGTAATTAATATCAGTTAATTCTTTTAAAGAAAAGACAACCAAGCAGTCCTAGTTCACATTCTTAGTATTATGCTACAGAATAATACATTTATCTAGTATACATTCTGGGTGTGGGTTTGCAGGATTTACATATTTTGTGATCTCACCTCTCTATTAAGTAAACAGACAAGTTAGTTTTCACCAGCAGTTTTGTTTCTGTATAGATATGATGATATAACTTGGAAGCTTCTAGAATGTCTGGTTCTTATGAAGTATCTTTCAAATTATTCCCTACTGCCTCTTTTTTCTATTAAAAACAAGTTCCTGAGCTCTCCCTTTCCTCCTCGGTTAGTGATATCTTATGGTCTATTAAGGGGTTTGAGTCCAGGCCCTTCCCTGGTGCTGTTGGGAAAGTTATGCTCACAGCTACAGTTAAAATTTCTTCTCCTTTTTTTTTAAAATTGTGATTTGGATGAAAGTTTACAGAGCAAATTTGTTTTCCATTAAAAATTTCATGCACATTTTGTTTCATGACATTGGTTGCAATGCCCATAATGTAACAGCACTCTTCCTACTTTCTCTCTGTGGTTGGCTTTTCCATGTGTCTTTCTTTCCTGTGCATTATTACCTTCTGAGCTATCTCCCTATGAAAATGCTGCCCTTCTGATCTTCCATGGTAGTAGATTTTTCTAAGGTCTGTACCTACCTAGTGTAAGTGTTCACCTGGTAGGCCTGTCTATTGCAGTTAAACTTACTATTAAGAGTTGACTTCAGTTCAGTTCAGTCATCAATGTTTCTAGCACACCATGACCGGCAGAAGACCTTACCTTTTGTGTTTTCAAAGACTAATGTCACTTCTTAGGGAGCTCTGGTGGCATAATGCCTAAAGCATTTGATTGCTAACCAGAAGCCTAGTGGTTCAAACCCACCAGGCACTCCTTAGAAGGAAGACTGGGCAATTTACTCCTGTAGAGATACTGCTTTGGAAACACAAGGAGGGGTCGCTATGAGTTGGATCTGACTTGATGGCAGTGAGGATTTTTTTTTTTGGAATGTCACTTATTAGCTATGGACTCAATACAGCTACATCTTCTGTCTTTTTCTCCAGCATTTTCTTCTTTACCTATTTTTCTCTAGCTCTGGGAGACAGCATTGGTAGACACACAGAGGGTCAGACTACCTAGGTTTATTTTTGGATTCATTATTTCTCAGCAGTGTGATAGTAAGATGATTCCTCTGTCTTAGTTTCTTCATCTTAAAATGGAAATAATAGCAGAACTTTCCTCATGGGGTGTTCTGGTTACCTAGTACCACTCTGACAGGAATATATCACAAATGGGATGGCCTTAACTATTCGCTTACAATTCAGGAGGCTAGAAATCCGATTTCAAAATGCCAGGCTCTAGGGGCTGTGTGAAAGCCCCTCGACCTTGGGCTTCAGCTCTGCCTCTTGCTCCCAGCCCATTGAAGCTAGAGGCAGCTACTGACTGCTGAGGCTAACAAGTCCAAGGTCAACAAATAAAATGGCACATTCCTGATGTTACCAAACATTAATGGCAGACCATTAATTCAAGTCCATTATAAGTCCCAAAGTCGGTAGAGCATGGCAGGCTGCTGAACAATGACATAGCTACATGCAGGGTCCAAGCATGCCATAACCTAGAGACCATTACCCAAGGCTTCTTCTTATATACAGGAATCAGACTACATCCCTAAGGCAGCTACTCAGCTGCTCACAGTAGATTCCACCAAGGAGTTGATTACCAGTCTTCTCATGGGGAATACTACATTTAGCTGCCCAGCCACTCAACCAGGCCCAGCCAAGTTGATATACAAACATAACCACCACATGGAGTTATTAAGATGATAAAAATTATTATATTAGTTGATATTTGTTAAGGCTTAGAATAGTGCTTGATACTTCTAAATGTCTTTAAAATA